TAAGAAAATACATGCTTATTATAAAACGTCCTTATAATTTATACTACAGTGAGGAAGAGAGGGATGTAACGCATGCTTACTAAGGTACAATGTGCCCCTTTCTATAACCGTTGTTTTACATGTTCTGGAGTTATGTGAATCGATACTCTATATCCTGTTGTAGGCGTTTTTGAAGATTTACTTTCAACTAGCCAATAATAGCTCTGGTTAGATTTGAGCCTGGATTTGAATGAAAGAGCTTTCCTATATTTCATTTATTTTTGTACACACATGCAAAAGTACTGCAAAAATGATGAATTAGAAAACTATGCATATAGTTGTTTCGTATATCTTTTGAGTTGGTTCGCTTACGTAAAGGAGGCTACGCGTTTCCATGATTAAATCATCCTTATTGGAATTTTGAAATTAAGCGCTTTAAATTACCGGCAGACAAAGAAAGTTTGTTGAATAATAAATATGTAAAATTGAATCGCTGAAATGACAATTACCAATTTTACACTTTTTTTGAATTGTCCCCGATTGCGAGTAAAACATGTAATTTCACATGCAATCACCTTCTGTAAGTAGATCAGTAGCACCTACTCAAATTAGCGAAATGGTAAAAAGTTGCTCACAATTTGCGAAACTCTACTATCAATTAGTGCACTAAAATCCAGTTTATTGATGCTATCCTTCACTCATTAAACGGTTCATAATTAGGAATACCTTACGTTTATGTGGTGACTGGATCTACTTCGGTGGTCTTCCTGTTCAAATCATCTACTTAATTAGTTCCGATTATAACGAAAAGCTTTATTGATATATTTTTTTCGTATTCACTTTATTGGTGTGTTAATTATCTTTATGCGTATAACAACTACCACTTATTAATCACGCCAAATCACTCACGATATATAAGCTGGGAAGTTAGAAAGGTACCGTTCCAAAAGGTAATTATGTCAAAAAGTAGTTTCGTTTTTATCATCTAAAAGGATATTTTAGTTTAGTTTTCTAACAAGACTTTGTGCTTTGCATTATGGATCATCCCAGCTAATTGTACGAATTAATTGCTGTCCGTTTCGTAGTTTTTTTCTCATTTCAATTTGGAGGCCTAACCCTAAACTTTCAAGTCAATGTAAAACAAAAAGCCCTTCTCTATACGTGCATGTAAAAATTGATCATGAAGTAATTGCGGCTAAATACAAGTTAATTTAAATTACGACGGCTATAAACTTTTCGGAAATTAATTTGATGGCGATACAAGTAAACTGCTTTTGAAACGACTAATTAGCATCATTCGATTAATTTATCACATTTCAAAGTCATTAAAAGATAGGAATTACGTCGTATATGCATTTACGTAAGGGCGCCTTCATGTACCGTTAATAATGACGATAGGTGGGTACACCTGCCACTATAAAAAAATATTTCGCTCGTGGACAAACTGGTGCGCATTTTTTATGGGAAGAGAAATGTGAATTGGGACCCCCGAGAGTTTCTATTCAGCTTAATATTATGAATCCTGCACTAATGCGAAGCTTTTAATTTTTGTGTTGTAAACGTAAAAGATTATGTTGTTTGGGAAATTAATTCCTAATCAAAGGTGGCGTATTTACAATTTCTAGCAATAAAATTAGGTACGTGCCCGTGGACCAATAGAAAATGACTTAACCGCACCTGCTTTTACAAAATACACCTGCCATAAGTTGATCTCGATTTCGATTTTCTTTTTAATTCCACACATTAATTCCTACGCATACAATTCTTGAAATTGTTAATGTTTAAGCATTGTATTAAAGTGCAAGTGTCGTTTTACAAAAAGCAGAAGAGGATATTATTTGTAACAGAAATATTTCAATATCTCACAGCAGGACTAAAAGCAATGCGAAAAAGTCTTAATAATCATTAATATATTATTATAGTTATTATATGCAATAAACCATACAGATGACGTTCAATAAATGAGAGACAATAAACTGAAATTTGGCAAGGTACTTTGTTTCAAGGTACTAAATACACCTTGAAACCCCAGCGACGAGGCGTTGAGCCCGTCACCACAAAACCACCCCCTAAGTGGACTAAAATCCACCTTTTTTAAAATTTTTCTTAACTCTAAAACTAAGCATTTTAACGAAAAAATCTCAAGAGAGGAAAATTGCGGAGAAAAACATTTCCTACAAAATAGGTGCACATCAAACGTTTTAGATGTTAAAGTTAAAATCGACCCCAAAATGTTTATACCGTGTGTCCTAGCTTGCCGCACCATATAGGCAAAACAGAATGAATATATTTTTTCGCGAAGGCCAGTAAATGAACGTGGAATACGGCGATACTGTGTAATTTTCCGCGTCTTCACCGAATCGCATGAAAATTTGGATTTAGGTTCTACTTACCCTCCACTTCAAAGTTGAACTTGAGCCCAGGGTTGCTTTTTATTTTTTAGGGGAAAAAACTACCCCTATTAGAAAAAAATTGTGTAATTGCAAATTTAATCTTTTAAAGGAGTGAAGAAATATCAATTAACATTAAACAACATAACTTAAGATTTTATCACAGTTTAATCCCTAAATCTTATCTCTAAAATAGTAATATTTAAAACAATGTCATAGAATACTTTGACTCCACTGATTTGCATGAAAATTTGGATTTAGGTTATTCTTACCCTCCACTTCAAAATTGGACTTGTGCCGTTGGTTGCTGTTTATTTTTTAGGGGTGGAAACTACCCCTATTAATCATATAATTGTAAATTCGAGCAATTTGGGATTATTTAATTATACAATAACATTAAATTTAGATTTCTTTCCTATTTTTATTTTTTACCAGATAATTTATACCCTTATAAAAACCAACCTTTGCGAAGAAATTCGAATAGTTGTAGTAATTTTTTTTCTTCGTTGATACTAGATATATATACAGTAATTTTTCTAATTAAAATTTTACGAATTTATTTTATTTCAATTAAAAAAACAACCCTTATTGTTTCAAATATAAATCTTAGATCTCTAGATTTTAAATAACAAATAGAAAAAAATAAAATTAATTTTTATACGAATGTTAATTACTAATACTTTTGAAGTTATTTTGAAAAAAAAGGCAATTTTTCAAAATTTCAAAATTTTTTTTACTTCAAAACTACATTTTTCAAAAATAAGCACTTTGCACCGGTCAAACTTACAGATCATATAAACAATACATAAATAAAGTAAACTGTAAAGCGGTAACGCTTAATACAATTGGGGTGCTAATTAGGGGGCGATTTTCTCGATTTTTTTTTACCTAAAAAAAGGACCAACTTTATTTTGAGCGTAACTCACTTAGTTTTGATGCTAGGAACTTTTCTTAAAAACAAAAAGAAAGGTGTTTTCAAAGTATAAGTATTAAGTATTCATAAGTTTTCCCCGAAAAGTGCTTCATTTTTTTGTTATTTCACGTTGAAGTACTCGATTTGGAATTTGACGAATGAGAACCTATACTTTTCATGAGCTACAACTTTGCTTCTACTGGGTCTACAGACTTCATATATAGACAGTTTCCTAGCGTGTTGTTCACTCTATATCCTTGATTTTAAAGATATATAAGAACTGGCAATTCTTGCTATGGGTTTTCAGAAGCGTAAATTGTTCATTAAATTAAAGGTGATGTCCAAAATATAATTGTCCGATAGATTTTCTGGTACGATTATGGCGCCGTTCGTAATTAAAAATGCTACTCAATACAGTATGTACTTTTTTTACGGCACAATTAAGTTGATGATTTCTCCGAAACGAAACGTGGTATTGAAATTATCTCAACAGTGTCTAGTAGAACTCTTGTAATGAGAAAGTGTTTTTTCTAGCATATCTTCGGAAGTAATGGGAATCACTGTATACAATGCTATTCATTTAGAAGTAGACAGACATTTCCTATGTCTAGTTTTAAATGACAAAAACTGCTGAAGAACGCCTTATTTTATACAACTAAAATAACTGCTTAAAACAAATGAAAATTTTGCTGTCATATCAATTAATTGAAATATTATTGCTTCCGTATTTTTATTTTCGTTCGTGTGCGATATATTCAACTGGAGAAAAACTTGATATTGTCAATTGGTATCGGGCCGGTAATAGTTTAAGGAGCGTAAGAGACTTATTTTCTGTGTTGATTACTTTAAAATTAGTAGTTATTGAAATGCCATCCACGTAAACAAGAAAAAGAATCCCATATGATACTTGAGGGAAATAGCGACCTAAAAGCACACTATTTACTGTCGTTTTTATTAAAATCTAAAATGACAATGCAACATGCGTGCGCATGTTATTTATGTTTCATAAAATTAGGTGTCTTTCAATAGTACTTTTATCATTTAAAAGTAGACATAGGAAATCCCTATGTCTACTTCTAAATGAATAGCTCTGTATGTAATAGGAAGAACAAAGAGTCACATTTTCCTACGTTGATCAAATATATGTTTGTCTAATAATCTCTAAAGGAATAGTTGGCGGTCACCTCACGGCGCCTCTTTTATATATCAGGTACCTAGAGCTATTGGCATTCGCCACTACTTGTGGTTATATATATCGCGGCCTTGGCTTTGCGAAAGGTCTTTCTAAACTCATTTCAATCGGCACGTGCAACGGTTTCTTGTTCTCCAGCTCTTCAACTCGTCCATCGAAGGCGATTTCCTCTCATTTCTGGACGAGTATTTGGAATAATTAACTCGGCAACTGTTTCAATTTGGTTTTTTTAAAGCCAGAATAGATTTAAGTGATCCTTGATGAACCCCGAGTCATTAAAATCGCATTAGATCGACGTGAAGGCCATGCTAAAGACTACTATTGCCATCCCGCTCACGACGGCTAATCTAGCTCTGTAACGAAAGATACAAGAAACGTTTTTCGTTCTTGTATGCACCACAAATTGATTGATATATATGTAGTTTTTGAGATTTAGTTTGGGGGCGCTTATGTTGAGGTGTAAATCAGGCCTTAGACGAAATCTCTGTGTAAACCTATCTTAACGTAATCGAGCAGCTGAATTTGACATTTGACAGATGACAAATGTTTATTATGAACCATTAACAAGTTGTTTATATTGTTCATAAATTTTGTATTGTCTATTTATTTGTATTTGACCATGTACAGTAATTATTAGCATGGCGAATCTCAAAGCCGGTGGGCCAACAAATCGGAAGAAAGTCCAAGTAAGTTCCCTCATATTGTGTATGGCAACTTTTAAATGAATGCAACTTGAAAGGTATCGATGGTAATATGCGAAGCCGAAGAAAAAAAGCACCGGTCCGGCGTTAACGCCCTACAGTTTGATGCAAGCCTTTCCCGTTTGTTTTCGGCCGGCCGTGACAGTATTGTTAGAGTATACGAGCAGGAACGATACCTACAAAGTATGGAGCATCACACTGACTGGGTTAACGACATTGTGCTTTGTTGTAATGGAAGGAATTGTAAGTGTGCTGACCTGGTGACTAAAACAACAGTAGATCTCCTTTTAGTAATATCAGCCAGTTCAGATACGACCGTTAAAGTTTGGAATGCGCACAAAGGTTTCTGTATGTCGACGCTTCGCACCCACAAAGACTACGTAAAGGCTTTGGCGTACGCAAAGGACCGTGAGCAGGTAGCATCGGCTGGTCTCGATAAGTCAATTTACTTGTGGGATGTGACCACCTTAACTGCACTTACAGCTAGTAATAATACAGTAACTAGTAAGTGGTTGTGGTGGTTGCGAATTAAATGTGTTGATAAAGTATTTAAGCTTCTAGTCTGGTGGGAAATAAGGAATCTATCTATAGTTTAGCCATGAATCCCTCTGGTAGTGTGATCGTTAGCGGGTCAACTGAGAAAGCTTTAAGATTTTGGGATCCTAGAACGTGCGCGAAATTGTTTAAACTTAAAGGTGGGTATACAAAACTTTCGTTTCTCGAGATAGACGTCACTGTGGTAAACATTGGCTGCTTTCACATTTACAGCTTATTGTTAGTAAGGGGCCATGTCTTGTCAATGCAAGAGGAATTCCTTAGTTTTGAGTCGGTTTCTCAATTAATAAGTAATTTTTAAGGGTAATGCTATCAACTATGCTTGAAATGTCACCTGAACCAAGGGTTTGTAAGTGCTTCCTTTCTATAGGTGTTCTGTTTTGATCTGGGAACCTTTCCTAGCATCTGGACTCTCTGTAAACAAAGGGAGGAACAATTGCGCTCTGGAATATTCACCCTTATCCTTTCTTCTCCTATTCATTGCAAGTTCATTTTCTTGAGATCATTTGGGAGTCAGTTTCCCCTTCCTCTTGCAGTTGCATACTTTTTAAGACAGAATTTACCAGGGTAGGGTAAATTTTGATGGGCACGCTATTTAGCCCACTTACGAAGCACGATATTGACATACAGTTATGGATTTGTAATCAGTTTAATATAATAGGATTTTCCTTAGTTTGCGCGCACGTCATTGGTGTATTATGACGTCATCACTAAGTATGTTTACATAGCATCATGCTGTCAATGGAAGAAAATGCGTATGTAGGCAGCCATACAGGCAGTGCTGCATTGTGGGTAGGGTACCCATTACATCAACCACTTCTGTTAACTAATTACTTCGCTAATTACTAAAAAATGTTTATTTGTAACACATTGTCTATGTCGCGATCTTTTATACTAGGACATTATTATTTGGACGTAAAGGAAAAATTAAAAAAAGTCATTGAAGTATGTTGTCAGGCGCCATATCGTATATAATTGCATATAAATATATAGCTACCTCTGGAGTTCCTCAAGGTTCTAACTTGGGTCCTCTATTATTCCTCATATTTATTAATGATTTATGTGAAGTAATATCCTCGAATGTACTACTATTTGCTGATGATGTAAAAATCTACTCATCAATTTATACAATTTCTGATTGATTGGTGTCTAATTAATAAATTACAATTAAATATAGACAAATGCAAATCTATGTCGGTAACGAGAAAAGTACATAAAATTGATTACAAGTATACCGTGAATTGTATTACTTTATCCCAATGTATACGTACTCGCGATCTGGGAGTGTTATTTGATAAAGATTTGTCATTCAATGATCATGTTACAGAATCTGTTGCTTCTGCGTACAAAATGTTAGGCTTTGTAATAAGAAGCACAAGAGACTTCCATAATATAGATGTTATAAAGCTTTTGTATTTTACCT